GGTGGGGGCCGGCACACCGTTGTCAGCCCCTGCTCTTAGAGGCCACTGTGTGTGGGTGGGGGCCAGCACACCTGTGTCAGACCCTGCTCTTACAGAGCCACTGTGTGTGGGTGGGGGCCAGCACACCTGTGTCAGACCCTGCTCTTACAGAGGCCACTGTGTGTGGGTGGCGGCCAGCACACCTGTGTCAGACCCTGCTCTGTCACAAGTCGGTGCTTCCCCTATTTGGGCCACTGTTTCTTCATTTGCAAGATGGAATATGACGCTGTTAATGCTTGTGGGACCTCACAGGTGTTGATAAAGAATACCCACTATTACAGGAAAATACCTCCAGGAAAAGGGAGAAGGAATCGCATATACACAGGTGCTATTGCCACTGTGCACAGCAGCGTGTGGCCCTGTGAAGACTTGGCAATGTTTTGATTTCCTGATGAGCAAAATGAACTCATTCATAACCTGATATCCTTTTCAATTAAAAAAAATAATTGAGCCAGTGTTTGCTGAAAGCTAATATCCTGGGTCAGAGGTTCTTCCTCAATGTGGCCATTTTTTTTCTTTTTTTTTCTTTTTTTTTTTTTTTAACTTTCTAGAGGGTGTGTGCACTTGCTGGAGAGAGACAGGGAGAGAGGAAGAAAGTGATAAATCTTCTCTTGTAGGGCGTGGCCTGTCACTTATAGGGCTGACCACAATCCCTTCTCCATTTCTCACTTCTCCTCTCAGGATTCTGAGCACATAGGCACATGCACCTGATATGTTTTCCAAGCAAGTGGGTCCGTGCAGTTGGCCGTGTGGGATTCAGCCTCCTCAACTTCCACAGCACTTGCTCCTAAGTGACCTCTTATCAAACGTACAAAAAGTAGAAGTCCTGTCCCCAAGCCACCACGACAACTTGGGGCAGTGGCAGCAGGCAGCCTTCCCGGAGCAGATCTCCGCGAGGCTCCATGATGCGTCCTAGGGTGTCAGGAGGCAGAGGCTGGGTCTCCGGTGTGGTGCTGGCTCCAAGTGTATACTTGAGGCAAGTCCTCCTGTGTCTCCCTTTTCTCTTCCGTAATATGAAGTTGGAAGTAGAACTGTTCTCAGAAGTTTGTTGTAAAAATAGAACAACTAATGTGTAGAAATGTAAAAACAGGGCCAGGCAGGTAGCGTGCTGTTTAAGACAGCTGGATCCCACGTGACTGATAGCACAGTTCAAGTCCTAGACTCGGCAGCTTAAAAAACATAGCAAGTGCAAGTGCGTGTGTGCCCAAATCCTGGAAAGAGAATGGAGGAGAAGGGGTTTTGGTGTGGCCATCACTCCCGGTAGGGTGCTTTCTCACTTTCTTTCTCCCTTTCTGTCTCTTCCTGGTAAGCACATGTGTCTTACAGCAAACTAACAAAAAATAAAAAATAAAAACAGTTGGGACATACCATGCACCCCCCCCAGCAGATGTTGTTATGTGATTTTTAATATCTTCAGGAGAGTCTTCTTTAATTTTATATTTTGTGGCTATATGGCTTGACCAACTGGGGTTGGTTTATGGCGAAAAATTACAGAATATTCATCATTAGAGCCAGTGGGAAAAACTAGAATTGTATATATAAGTGTCTTATAGAAAATGAAGGAAATGCGTAGGGAAATAGAATGATGGAAAGATAAAGGGTAAGAGAGGACAAGAAACAGGGGGTGCGAGATAAATTGTAAAGCAGGGTCTCCAAAGCCCAGGCTGTGGGCTGGTGCTGGCCCACTGTGCTGTGCACCGAGCCACCCAGAGAGGCTTCGTCTGTGTTTTCACCACAGGCATCGCCTCCTGGGCTCACCTCCTGTGGGAGCAGCAGCAGTGTTAGTTCTCATGGAGCGTGAACCCCATTTTTGTGTCATTGTATATTGCAATATGGTGGTGGTGGAAATGGGGTGCATGATGAATGTGGTGTGCTCAGGTCATCCCAAGACCAAGTCCCCAGCTACGCTGTCCATGGAGGGATTGTCTTCCCTGAAGCCGATTCCTGGTTCCAGGAATATTGGGGACTGCTGCTTTGAAAGGACCCTGGAAGGTTTTCTGTTTCTGTGTTTAATTTTCTGATTCAAATCCTCCTAGTGTGTTGCCTGAGTTGTTCTCCGTGTTTGGTAAAGCACACACGGGCATGTACGAGCAACAGGCAGACTGCGTGAGTACAACCCTTACTCTCGGGGACAAGTAATGCCTGTAACCTCTGTTCAAGTATTGATTATATGAAACCTAAATGATTTAAAACAAGTTTAAATAATTACTTATTTCATTTATTATTATTTTTTTTAATTTGCCATATATAGTTATCAGAGAGCCAGAGAGAAAGTGAGAAAGCAAGCCACCAGGTCCAGGACTTGAACCATAGTCGTCCATGTGGGAGTCTAGCATCCCAACCACCAAGCTACCTGCTGGCCCTGATTTAAAATTTTTAAATGTACTTTGTAAGAAGTTTTTTCCTCTTTATTTATTTCCTTTTCAGCTAAAAATAATTTCCAATCAGTGACTGTTCTACTTTCAGGGTGATGAATAACACAATAGGAAATTGTATTAGGGTAAAAATTACACTGATGCGGCCGGGTCTGCACGGCCGGGGCTCTGCTCCGCATTCCGCTGCCCCTCCGGGGCTGGCGTGTGGCCTCTGGGCCTGCACGTGGCTGCCCGGCCTGCACCTATGCGTGGCCCCCGGGCCTGAGTGTGGCCACTGGGCCTGTGTGTGGCCCCCGGGCCTGTGCGTGGCCGCCAGGCCTGAGCCTGTGCATGGCTGGCAGGCCCGCACCGGGCCCCCGCGCCCG